AGGGATATTTTCATGAAAGGCCGTCAAGTGCAGATCCAGCTTCTAAAGTACAGGAAATGATAAATGCACAGTCTGCCATCAAGGCACGTCCTGCCGCTGAGAAACATTTTGCAAAGTAAAATCCCCAAGCACGGAATTTCCTTGTCTGGCACGATCTTCTCTTCTTCCCTGTCCAGGTCCTGCCTACCAGTTTCCTAAAATCTGCCCAACTGCCCACCGGTGGTGAGTGGACCTCCCTGCACTTTTTCGGCATTTTTTTTTCTTATTGAAATACTCAAACCTGACCAAGTTTAATCGCCGCCGACCGAAGGGTGATATATAGAACGTGAAAAAAAAAGTCAGTCCATTCCCTTCCCCCACTAACAAAGTGCGACTAAACTTCGTCTACTCGGGATCCCCAACATACAACTTACAATCTACGGTAGCCCTAAACTCTTGAACCCCTTCATTGCACACAGCAGCCCTATTAGTAGGATGGGCAACATTAAGGCGGCTTCAAAACGGATTTGAAGCCGCATCAAGTGTCACAAGGACGAGTTTCCACCATCCGAGGACAAATCTTCTCCTTTTCCGGCACTATTCATCACATTGGATATATAGGTGGCGGTCTTCGTAAATATATATATTGAGAGATATATAGAATAACAATACGCACAAAATCACTCATATTCGCACAATAGAACCGTCTCCAAAATAGGATATCGGTATAATCTCTTTCTCCTTCACAACCAGCTGTCATGCTGTTCACGATAATCCTGCTACTGCTGTTCTCAGTAATGTCTCTGCGATTTCGCTTGGAATAGATCTGTTCTATCACAGTCGCACAACTAATGTGAAATACCCGTGTGGACACGGCTGTTGTGAGCTACGACATTCCTCCATTAACTGTCACATGTACGGCAGGAATCGTGTTGCTTGGGTCAGTTGTGCAATTTTTCAACGACTGTGCTCTGAGCCTATTCGAAGCCTCTTTGACGGGTTTTTAGCTGTCTTTTACAGTGCTAGCTTGATCACCATTAAGGTTCCGTTCCTGAAGCCTACCACCTAACATTTGCTTGATGGTAGATAAAAGGATAAAGAATAAAGTTTCGCCGTTAATCAATCCCTTTGTGGGATGCGGCACGCATTCTACTTCCATTCAGAATCGTAGTGGCTTATTGAATGCGATGTGGCCTACCAGACGAACCTGGTACCAATTTACCGTCCCGGGGTAGAAGGCTTGGTTGGCCTAGCCGGGTGTCGACCTCGGATTCGAACGCTGGAAAAGACTCGCAGCGAGTGTAAGCGACGCTTGTCACTACACGCCTCCTCCCTTGATGTCCGTTGTGGAGTAGTGGGTTTATTAACACGGGACTATGTCTCGATAGGGTGGGATAGGAATATAGCGATGGTCCCCCCAATTAGAGGTGGCATTTGTAGTGGGACATAGACCATGGGTCATGTGTTTTGAACGCTGATCTGAATCTTCTTTTGAAATTTGCAGAAGGATTCTCTGGACGAGGTTATGAAGGATTGTTTGAGTGAAGGGACATAAAGTCTGGCGCTATCGCCGCGTCTGAATACCTCCAAAAACGGAGAACATCACTCTATATGTCGGAGAATATATCACCATATTACCACTTCAACTTGGGGACCATACATAGTTAGAACTTTGCAATGGCTTTAAAGAATTTATAAATTATGGAGTAAAAGCACGGTTCAGGTCTCACTATGACTGGGAAATAGCCATGGTATTTACAGCGAGTACATGATTCCCAGAATTTTGGAATGCTTCGATTATTTTCAAAGTTGTAGGAAAAAACCCAACTTCTGTTTTTCTCTGCTGAGTTTTGCTGAATGCAAGAAGTTTGACGATTGAGATGCCATTAATTATGGCGTTAGCAACGGTGACGGCAAGGATGAATGGAATTAAAACGTTGTAGAGGTTCTTTAAGTCCTAAACAACTAAGTATAAGCCTTAAAGTGGAGTGAGGAGATTTGTGTAAGCTCATCGATACGACAAAGAACCGGCAAACTGATCCACACACAACACGAACGACATGATACGCTGCGAAATTGTATTAGTTTAGCGGGAAGGTTCTTCATACTCTCATACTTTTTCATACTTTTTTGAACTCAAAATACTTGTACATTCCCTGAAGAGGGGTGGTCATACACCACGGAATTATCTAAATTATGAATTATGATTCCAGTCGTATAACTCCTTCATCTTCTTTTGCAATATGGATAGGAATGGTATCCGCTACCATCGGCACGGCCCTCCAAGCGCTTCCTCAAATTCTTTCTTCTACAACCCTGACCCCAGCATGACAGCTGCCGATGCCAAAATAATGGAGCTGAATAAGGACTACGCATTGTGAAGCGATGGCATCCATGAGGTGTTCAAAAACTGGCATAAACCTAGCAGTAACAATGCTGTATAATTTTCATCTTTTACGGCTCTCTATAAAAAGGATGCCTAATTTGAAAAAGTATAAGAGAGATTTCCCGTTAGCCTAATATAAGTTTCATTTCCAATATCAATATTTTAGGGGGTTTTTGCAGGTGGTGGAGTGACAAGTGGCGCGCTTACCACTCGCGCGGTCCTGGGTTCGAATCCCAGGTCGACACCCGCCCAGGCCAACCAAGCCTAAATTGGTACCAGATTCGTCTGGGAGGATAAGAACACTGACTTGTACATCGGCTGGCCCCCGCAAGTCATTGTATAGGCCACATCGCATTCAATAAGCCACTACGATTCTGAATGGAAGTAGAATGCGTGCCGCATCCCACAAAGGGATTGATCAACGGCGAAGACTTTATCCTTTTATCCTTTTATTTCAAACAGGACCTTCCTTTACGTGAAAAGGGTCAGACTGAAGTAGGAAAGATAAGAAATAGTGTCAAAGTGACCCTGAATGAGCGATCTTTCATTCGTAGTAACAAAAAAGTAACTTTCTGGTGTCATTTCGGAGCGTATCATTTCTTTGGTGTCGATGCCTGATAGAAGGCTAAACGAGTGTCACTAATGATGGATGTTCCTTGGTTGAGCTACAGTCCTCATCATTGCGGACCGGTGGGGTGTGGCAGTGCGGCTGCGTTTGGTGCGGTTTGGCAAAATCGTTCTGCACCAGTTTTTGAAGCGGGCAAGTGCATTACTGTATTATCCTTCGTATTACTCGTTTTCTACCACTTTTTGTCGCATACGCGTTGCAACAAAAAAGGCTGAGAACGGCTCCAACAATGTGCGCGCTCCTTCTGGCTGACCGCCCCACCGGTCCGCAACGATGAGGACTGTAAACCTTGGAAAGTTGTAGGGGAAGAAAATTGTTCGAGGCCGAATCTATCCCTTACCACTAGAAAGACTGCTAAGGCGCGGATTGGTGGTATGGACCGGCAGTTCCTGGAATGAGAGACCCGATATTTTCTTCGTGGACCCCGGACTGAAAGTGAACGCTGACGGTTACATCGAACAACTCGAGGAGAATATCCTGCCTTCATGTCGTCGCCTGTACCGTCTTGGAAACTTCGTACTGATAGAGGATTGGGTGCCAGCACATGGAATCGAAGGGCGTTGGAAAAACTCTTGGAAGGACGTTGAGTACCGGAAGTAACCGTAACCTGACCTAAACCCCCTGAACCTGAACCCGGGCTCGAGCGGAGCTCAACACTATGGTCTACAGTGGCGGAAAATCAACGACCTCGCTGAACTCAGGCACCGCATCACGGTCGCGTGGCAGAATCTCTTGATTCAGAGGGCTGTGGTGGAATTTTTGATAGTGTGTAAGGTTTTGTTGACTTGGTGACGGAAATGTCCAAATAGAACTTACTAAAGTGTAACGTATACCGCCTCACATGTAAAGAAAGAAAAGTGTCTTTTTTTGCCCCCCCCCTCTCCTATACAGTTCGGCGGTCCCAGACGTCTTTATGTGGAAGATGAAAAGGCGATCATTTGTGATGTCTCGGATGAAACTAACTTGCCCAATCCACTTCTTTCTCCGGAAAAGACAAACCAGTGACCAAGTAAAGCCACTCACGAATGTTGTTCTGATGCTGAAGCAATCCATTGCAGGAACATAGGTGTAGTATGAACGATTCACTAGAATTGATAGGTTATTGAGAAAGGGCAGATAACGGCAAGAGCAATACAGATGTAGAATCCAAAAGACCACATCTGGAAATTGAGATGATTAGGTATTCTCAGTGCTGAGGTTTGTCCATGACTGCTTAAAAGTTAGTGAAACTGAACGTTAGACTGTAGATTCATTGTAGCCAACAAGTTCTCCAAGGAATCTACAGTTCTATTCGCTGCGATGCTGGGCATTTGGCAAGCGAAAGTTCACTGCACCAGCCTCTTTCCAACAATTGTAGTTGCTTGCTCGCTTTAACCACGTTTGAAGAAGGTTAACGCCACACCGAACCCACCCCTGAAACGCCCCGTCAACCATAGCGAAGAAGACAGTAACTTTTATGAAGAGTGACGAAAAAGGATTCACCTTTTGGAAGTGATACAACTTCTATGATTTGGTGGTTCTCTTCGTGCAACAGTGCCACTTCAAGCGAGAAGTTTAAAATCACAAGCCGAAAAACTTGACCCACTTTTCCTCAATGTCGCCTCGGACTCGTTAGGGTGTGCCCTATGTTGGTACTGCCCAAGGTGAAGTAAAGAAAGGAAGGGGAGGGGAACGAGTGCTGTTAGAGCCTGAAAATATGTTCAGTGCTGATTTTTCCGTTTCAGCGACTTACGTGATGCTTGAAAGCTTGAACTCGCATCCGCTAGGAGTTGGATTTGCAACTTTCTGCCTCTTATGTTAGTGCTTCTGGTAATTAATCGGATACGTGTTCCCCCCCCCCGTTGGAGGGACATGGATCTTAGGGAGATGTTTTGGAGACTCGTTCCAGTGCCGCCCTACTGGTCTGATTCACTCGTTCCGAATGTTTCATTTCGTTGCGTTTATAGGATAGGTACAATGTGAATGATTTGAGCAAGATAACCCCCAATGTTTTCCTCCTCATTTTCATCACTGACAATCCCTTCCGAAAAACTCCTCTTGCAAGTGACGTACCTGTTCAAAAAAGAAAGGAAAGAGTATCATTGTCATTCGGTTGAAACTCATGACGAGGGACATCAGGTACTGTAGGAAGGCGAAATGAAAGTGAAGGGTGTGAAAGATATTGAGTCCAACAGTGAAGTCTTGGAATACGCCTGATAACGTACAGTTTTCACAGGTGTTCTGAGGTAGCCGTAATGTGACAAATGAATTCAGATATGTCCAAATATTCTGAAGCAACTTGATTAGAATTCAGGTATTGTTAACACTTTGTAAAAAATCAGCTTCAGGATCAGCACTTACAAAAACTCACAATGAAAAATGAGGCGATGAATAGCCTGAAAAATGAGCCTCGGAAGAAAGACCAGTTTTTGAGCAGCAGTATGACAACGTACATGTACAGTACCACTGAAATGGCGCCATAGGCCGTTTGGACGACGAAAATTGTTGAACCAAGACTCGTCATGTATACCTGAAGGGAATCTTTTTCTTGAAAGTGAGGAGCACAGGGAATACGCATTGCATTCACTCAATTTTTATTGAAATTTGATCATTACTTCCTAATGCCCACTCTCTCGTTAGGCTTGTTGACTAGCGATGACTGGAAAAGAGTACAGCTCACACGAGGTGAATGGGGGAGCAGAACACATCATAGCTGTTGTACCCGAACAATGGGTCTCATCTGCTCGTTGTTGGGTGAGGATGGGGGTTCTATTTGCATAGAGAGGAATTTGCGGCGTTGCGTAAAAATTCTCCTTTTGTTGACCTTTTGTTGTTTTTCCCATTTCACACGTTCTATATACCTCTCCCCCGCCGTGGGGAGAGGTAATGGCTCGAGGGTCGCATCGAGCCATTTCCTAGGGGAGGGGGTCACACAGACTCGACTAAAATCCCTAACTAACGATGTGCCCTGTGAGGGAGCGAGGAGGAGGATTCTTGAGTCGTCGAGAAGACAGGGTCATATCTGAATTGTTCAATTGTTGAAATCTTCGTGAATGCGGATCAGAAAAGCTTTGCTGAGGAAGGACGGAGCTTTCTTGCCGTCCTGACGCCTTCTCGGCCAACAGACCTTTTTCGTTCTGGGAGACAGACGGTAAGATGTTGGGTGTTTGAGAGGGAGGGGGTGTGGTGGGTTGCACTTGAGGTGGTGGAGGAAGAAAAAGGGGCAAAAAGTGCCGAATGACCGATTTACATTGTCACCATAACGTGCCTATGGTCACGCTACAGAGCGATAGAGTGAGGTGGATGGGAGGACTGCGCAGCCTCACCTCTTCTACATCGGGTTCCGGCTCAACTGTTTTGAAGGAGGTACAGTTCGATACAGGGCGGGGAAGGGGGCTGCTAGACGCAAAAGAAACATCTGCGAAACATGGAATGGGACCAGTGTTATCCGTATAACCGCATGAATGTAAACGTTAAAATGAATGAGACATAGAACAATAGTATTTCATTTGTTTCTTGGTCAGGCTTTGCTACTTCCTGCAGCATTTCCCAGAGATCGTCTACGAACTTTATCAAATAATATACGTTGGAAGGAAAGTCCCGTCAGTGTTTCCTTTAAAAGCTTACAGTTTTTGATTCTCGATGCTTGAACATGAGGTAATATGCCATGCTTGTAGAACATTCTGAGAGCTTTCGTGCAAGAGGTGTGTGAGGGCGCCTGCTCTTTCCTGGGTCTAATTACGATTTTAGTTTCACAGGAGCATCTTCGCGTCATCATCTTCTACCGGTGGCCCTGCGGCACTGGAGTCACGGCGGCTGTGTGCGACATCAACAGTGCATTGGCGGAGGACACCACTACCATCAGGACCGTTCACTTTTGGTTCGCTCACTTCGCGAAAGGAGATACGATCCTCAAAGGAAAACCTCGGTCGGGACGCCTCAACGAAGTGAAAGGCTCCACCGTTCTCGAAGCTGTCAAGGAGGATCCGGAGGCTACCACCCGCAGTCTTGCGACAAGACTCGGACCTAACTGACAGTCGTCCACCGCCTGTAAGCCCTTGACTACCAAAAAGTACTGGCTCGATGGATCACTCATACCTTGACCGATGGCAGGCTGTGCACCTGGGTACCCCTTGGTGAGTCTCCCCTTCTCCGCCCTCGTCAGAAGGAGTTTTAAGGAGACTGCTTAGTGGATATGAGAGATGAATTCTCTGTGATCGCAATCCACACAGTACCGTATGTCTCTCTCGGGGAGAAGACCCATCCTAGCAGTTCAAACCGGGCATGGTTCCGAGAAGGTTTTTCTTTACTGCTCCTGGGACGGGAGGGGGATGCTGCAGAACGAGCTGCCCTGTAAGAACACACGATCGCTACCATTTATGTCGCTCAGCTCCTGAAACCGGTGGAAGTTGTTGGAGAAAAATGACCGAGGATTGATCGTTAAGTCGAACGAGCTCATACTTGGTATATTGACCATGTCCGGCATATGATAGGAGCATTAGGCTGTCAGGTCAGATGTGCGCCGCGTACGGCGCACCAGGCCGTTCCCTAGGAGTGTATGAAGAGGTAGGATCTGTCTTGGTTCTTCGCTTGCGATATGACCTGATAGTTACCAAACTGGGGGGAACCTGGGGACGACCAGTGCTAATATTTCGGCTGCTATTTCCTCATCTTATCTCACTGACGTTATCTATGTGTTCAAAAGATGCGCTCCTAAGACGTGGCTGACTTAGACCTGGTGTCATACTGTCGTTTTGTTGCCAATTACCGGCTATTCTCTTATACCTCCGAATTACCCTCTGCTACCATGTTCGAGCACATCCATGATTGATTGCGGTCGCGCTGACATTACTCTTACTGCGCAGCCCTCCATCAGTTTATTGGCGTACGTAGAGTGTGACCAAGAGCCTTGTCCGCCTCCAATATATGGCTGGTAGAGCCGCGTAAGTTACTCTGTTTGTAGTGGCTAACTATGACGAGCATATTGTTGACTAATTCCCACTGTATGTTGAGTTAGAAAATAAAAAAGAAAAATGTCACAACAGACGAGACTTTCCTTCCAACCTATATTTTCCGGATGTGTGCACCATGAAGGATGAACTTTTACTGTTGATCAGGCCTTTCATAGGATGCGCCATTCCCCCGTAAAAATTTTATTCATACGACGACTAGTCTAGGTACAGTTGATGTCGTCACAATCGTCGCGGCTTCATTATCTACCAGTCAAGGATAAAATGATAGGGGATAAAGTTTTTGGCAGCAATCCCTTTGTGGGATGCGGCACGCATTCTACTTCCATTCAGAATCGTAGTGGCTTATTGAATGCGATGTGGCCTATACAATGACTTGCGGGGCCAGCCGATGTACAAGTCAGTGTTTTATCCTCCCAGGCAAATCTGGTACCAATTCACCGTCCTAGGAGAATAGAGGGCTGGGCGGGTGTCATCCGGCTTTTGAACCCAGAACCACGCTAGTACTGATGGTGCCATTGGCCACTTATGGATGCGAGCATTAGTGAATTAGTGGATCAGGGCCTACCACGTTTCAGCACTTGTAGAGAAAATAAAAGGGAGGGAGCCCACGTTCCTCAGCAGGCCTGGACAGAGTCGGATCTGTTCTCATGACACGGTAGACCATTACGATTGAAATTCAAGGCTATGGCTCATAGATACTGTAACACTATATACATGGGAGGCCAAAAAAGTCACTTTTCTTCATTGACTTTCGAGGCGCTATAAGTTACACTTTATTGAATTCTGATCGGACATTTTTACCACCATATTAAAGAGCATATCAATCGACACTCCGCCACAGCCTTCTGGAAGCGCCATCGAGAGATTCTGGCACGCGACCGCGATGTGGTGCCTGAGATCAGCGAGATAGTCGATTTCTCCGCCACCGTAGACCACCCTGTTGAACT